ATATATTTTTTTTTTTTTAAATAGCGTCTGGATGGAAATGCGTTACTTTGTTAATGAGCGTTTGGTCGTCACGCGATCCAAATTAATTATGTATTTTACATCGCTTTTATGCAAATCGTGATTTTTTTTCTCTGTACGCGTGTGACGTGAAAATGCAAATGATGTGTGTTATACGGTAGCGTCTCGTACAAAGCGTGCGTTGAAAATTTCGAATCTCACCTCGTCTGATGGATTTCAGGTATAGACGCCATTTTTTTCAACGACTTTGTCGATTTAATTTTAAATTGATTGATTAAATTGAGCGATTTTGCGAGTGTAAAGTAATCTATACATACATTTGTGTCTTCTGCATTACATCTATAATTGAGAATCGAAAATATATTTGAGATTTCTTGCTAGATTAATTAACTTAACGATTATTCTGCACATGTGTATGAAGATTCCACTAAAAAAATATTACAAATTTTTATAAATATTTATTACTCTTTTGGCATTACTTTTAGAAACATACATCTTTAAACATAATTTTTTTTTTTTATTTGTGTTTAAGAAGAGGGAGAGAGAGAGAGAGAGAGAAATATCTTCAATGTCTTACTATTTGCTGTATGTTGTGGTGACTGCTCATGGAGGATGGATTAAGGTGAGTTGTTTTATCAAACTGAAAAATTTTTAATTAGATATGTGAGTGGAAGCACTCAATTAGCTCGCGCGCTTAATTATGTTAAAAAAAAAGTCCGTGCGTATCTGCGGATTAATATTGGAAATGTTTTTAATATCCGGTTGGAAAGTATTGCTTAACGAGGTACGATATAAAAGCATTGCAGGGCAACGAAATACAATTCTCGTTGTGTATCTGTGCAGCCAGACATAACGCAGTTTATGATTAACAATTACGGAATGCGGTGGATTCCGCCGATAAATAATTGCTTGTAAAATTAGCGTACCTGCCATCTCGTTTTGTTTAACGTCATTAGAGGGTCGCGTCGGACGAACGCGAAATGAATTTTCGCGAACCTCGGTTTTTAATTAGAATCCGGTCCCGATCAATTTCACTAACAATAAAACCAAGTCGATAGTTGCGTAAAAAAACCAAGCAGCAAATGCCCGAGGATAATTCGAGAATACTGCAAAAGAATTGATCTTTTTTATATCTTCTTGCTGTTCTATTCTTTTATGTTTTATAAATTATATGTATATTTCTTTTTCGCGCAAGTTTATATATAGCAGATTTTTTTACACATAGACATATGTATGCATAAAATCGTGAAAAATATATTTCATGCATTGCAAATTAAGATGTGTATTCACACACACATATTTTAATTCGTAATGTATGAAATATATTTCTCACTGTTTGCAAGTATATATATATATATTACTAACGTATACTATTGGTATTTAAAGATCTTTCATAATGCATCATACCGTAAATATTATCGATAAATTCGTTCGCGCTTGCGGATTTGCACTCTAAAAAATTTCAATCGAACGCAACAAGTATTTTTACGTTGGAGTTACGCAAATGTGCGATTTTCGAAATTCCGATCCTCTCGCATCTATCTCTTTCTCTCTCGGTATTCGGCGCGATAGTACCATTATTAGTATGACTAACTATAACTTACGAGAATTTGGCATCGGCTAACAGATAGCGGGCTCGATGGCCCAGATTCCGCGAGTGGAGATCTCTAATAGCGAGACTCAAACTCCTTCGGTGATAATCGCACGTTCACGACGCGAGATTAAAACACTCGCTTTCACCTATTGCGCGTTCAGTGCGACAAAACGTGTAATCTTGGAACAAGAATAACCAATATCGTTTCTGCGAGACAAATGAACAGACACGAGTCAAAATCACGGAATAATGTTCAAAAATAGCAATCGATTTCGTTAAAAAAAAAAAAAGAAAAAGGAATAGTACAAAAAAGAACTATTCTAAATCTTTGTGGAATATATCCTCAATTTCACAAGTTGTCCCTTTTCTTTCTTCGAGCTCTCTTTGTGTATCTTGGACTTTTTTTTTTTCCTCTTTTAATCTGACCGCGTATGTATACCTAATTTTATTTTTTGCGCAAACTAAGCCACGTATCGTTGGCTGAGAAAACGTGGCCGATCGTGTACATAGACGTCCGTGTCGCGAATGATTTGAAAGCGGATATCTCTGTTTGATAACGGGCGCGGTAACCGCCTTCTCTCGACTGCGTTCCGCCGCATTAATTTTCTCGGTGACACACGAGTTTGCGTTCCGCGAACACCAACACCAACTCCATTGTTGTGCCTTTTTCTTTACGAGCCTAGGCCGCGGCGGTAAAACGAGAGTCGAGACACTCGCCGCGATCTTTACGACCGATTGATTATCGTCGTCTCTCCAGGCCGGATCTGGACTCTCGCAATCGACGCGACGACGACGACGTCGGTGGTTATGCGTTCTTTCGACGCGCGTTCGGTGAAACCGCATCGGCGATAAGCGACCACGCGTGTTTACACCAGCGGTTGTCACGCTTTCGTATTTCATCCGTCGCGAGACTCGCTCCATTCCGGATACTTACCCGGAGGCTGGCCGATCTTTTGTTGCTTCGATTCGTTTTGTCCCGCCAGGCGCGACGTCGCGTCGCTTTCGGAGATATCGAAAAGATTTAAACAGCTTTTATAAATGACAGCCGGGATGATTAGATAGCGCGAACACAATTTGTACGAATTTGCGTATAGACTGGCTCTTTGCTATTTAAATCGTCACGGGAATGGGAAAAACGAGTGCGTTATCAGCTGGAAGTGTACTCGCCGCTCGCGATGACATAACTCGAGCATGTCGAGCCTTCACGCACCTCCCTCCCCTCTCTCACGTCTGCTCTCTTCAATCTTAAGCGCGTGCTTTTCCGGGAAAAGAAAGAACGTAGTGATCGAAAAACGACACGGTACATTGGAAGGAGAAAGTGAGATGATGAGGCTAAGGATGGGGGAAGGGGAAACCGATCTGAAGGAGTCATTGACGCGCATATGGTCATCAAGGGTTAGTAACCCTTGCAATTGCCAATCGTACGATAATTACAGCACTTGTATTATAACGTGTTTCTCCTTATCAAGCGTAATGAGCTTGAAATTTCAAGTATATATAATCGATTTGACGTTCCTCGATTATCGAATTTCGATATTATTGGATATTATTATTGGATATCCCGTGATTGCGACTCCATCCGAAATGGACGGATCATTAATATATAACAAATTCATATTCCAAACTATATAAGGTTTTATCTGAGAGAAATTTGAAAGCAATCATGCGCGAACCGCCGATCATCTGCGTCCATATCGATGTCGTTCGAATGCATAGATGAAAACGTTAGAACAACGCGGACGCACAACGTGAGGTCAAGGTCGCTCGCGAGATATCACTCCAAGTGGGAGAGAAAGATCATGAGGCAAAAGGTATAGCGAAAGAGAGAGCGAAAGTGCGGAGAGGAGGGAGGACGGACAAGGCAGAAACGAGGAGGGAAGGAGAATACCATGAAAGGTGGAGGAGGACAAGCAGCACGAACAGGAGAAGGAAGAGGAGGAGGTGGTGGTGGATGGTGGAGGTGGTGCGAAGGTTTCCCCTCAACAAGTGTGATCGAGCCTGAAGCTCGTCGCTAGACTACATATATAATTTGCCTGCGATCCGGCCGCGATCAGAATGCTTGCGGATTATTTTATATCAACGATAGGTATCGCTATATTACACGCATTTTTTTTTAGATTTATGTAATAGATAGATCGCAGACCACGAAGCTAAAAAAAAAAACCGTTAAAAATGAAAAACTTAACTTAAAAACTTATATCTGTGCGAAAACCGCGTGAATAAAAATCGTACAAAAATCCGTCATATGATACAATAGTTATTCTGAAAACATATGTATGTGGGAATTCTTAATCAAGTGACGCGATTTATTTGTTGCACTTAAATAAAGATAACATTAGACGCGCGCGTAACAATGATTATAATGAAATTCTTCGCGTGGAGGAGGAGCTAGTTTATACTCGGCGACATCACATTTACCTTTTGAGCAACGAGACACGCATTCGGCGACGAAAGTTGTTCCCTTTGTACATGAACTCGATCTTACATTCGGAACATCGGGTTCGCCGAGAACGGCGTATTGCGTTACTGGCGAAATTATTGTCCGAGACGTGCTCAGCGACGGTTCGACTCGACACGACAAAATCTCCGCCGATTCGGTCGGCCGTCTTCCGCAGAGGCACCGCACTTTGCGGAAAGTTCAGTAAGCCCGGAGAGAAAATGAGAGAGAGAGAGAGAGAAAGCGAGAGAGAGCTTTGCGGATTCTCTAAAGCTGCTTTTGTCTATGCCGTCTGCCTCGCCAGCGGAAGCGACCGCGCCGAGCTGTAATTAGTGTTTTACTCTTACAGACGGCGGCGGTACGAAATGCGACGAGGATTAGTAGTAGTATAAAAATCGCCCCGGATGATTTCGTTGGAGAATCTCTTAGAGTCAACTACACCCATCAACTTTTCGCGATCGAATTAATAGAGATAACGAGCTCTCCGCCGAAAGTAATCTTTTCTTATGCGGCAATTTTATATAATATCTCATTTTCTTAAAAAAAAAAAAAAATATATTTTTAATATTAATTCTGCACAAGTATGTTTAATAATAGAAAGAAATATTAATTATTCGTAGTATGTTTCGCTTAATTTTAAAATTAAAAGTGCCCTTTGATAAACGTTTTAATACATATATTTACCGCTCACAATTAAAAGCTGGAGATAATATATACTTTGCTAATCTAGGTAAAAATAGAATAAAACAATTATTTCATCTAGATGATTATCTAGATAATAGAAAATACTGATTGCTCAGAAAAAATATATACACATATTTTACGATAAGGAATTTTTCAAAAGAACTTTTACAAGTTTCAAATATATTAATTTTTCTCGAAAATTTCTCGATTGCTGGGTGATCTACTGGGAAATTTTTTTTTTCTTTAAGATCAGTCTGACGTAGCTAATCAACGTTGAAATAGATCTCCTCTCCCTCCCTCTCTCTCTAGCAGAGTATATTTTAACTTCTAGAAGAGAGTGCGAGGGGGGCGGGGGCGAGCGTTGTGGGAGCTGTTTTTTCGCGCTACACGTGTGTTGAAGTTTGGAAACATATCTCGTATAAACGTCTCTTTCTTCGCTCTCGGTCAGGAACCAGCTTGACGTTATTAGAAATGCCTGCGGTCGGCGCGGAGAGACTAGACTCGTTTGAGAGTGGCAAAAAGAAAAAGAGATTTTTATCCATCGGACGCGTTATCTTACTCTCAACGTGATTCTCGTGGTTCGTGGTTTCGTTTTACAGTACAACACGGTCCGAATATAATACGTGCCGTTTAATACCGTCGCCGGTTATCACCGTGAGCACATTTAGCGGGAAATGAGATCGTACGATTTTTTCTCAAACGACTCAACCTTTTTTACGCGCGTGAATGATGCGAATGATATCGGGCGTTCGTGTCGTGTCGAGCAATTTTGTCACCCGCGTCGCGTTCTAAGCATTTTATCTCGGTCTCTGGTTTCAACGTCGTTCGGTAGCCAGCGTCGTTTCTCAGAGCGCTATTGTTGAATTATTCACACCGTCGTCGTTACGTAAGATGCTCGAAATGTAAC